ACGACCACGACGAAGGTAAAATCAACTACATGCACTGGGGTTTTAATCTGCACAATAATGGTCTCAGATGTACTTTTATTTGCTCAGTAGATCAAGCTAGCCATGCTAGGCTGAATAGGCTAACACCGGCCCCGAGCTAGCTACATCTAGCTAGCTAGATATTCTCGGCCGCTATGAAAACGTTTTGACTTGTGAATAACTGTGCAGTGTTTCTGTAATTTGCTTCACTAACTCATGGCACTAATCGTCTGTTTCAGGCGAGGATGGACAATTCTCGGGATTGGAAACAAGCGAGCTTTGCATTCTAGATCACAGCGCTTGGTCGTCCCCCTTACCAGCAACCAAGCGCAAAGGTACACACACTGTAACTTTGTCTTGAAAGAACGTTACGCATCGAACTGATGTTCACAATCATGTTTATTTCCTTCTTGGTACAATTATGAAACAGCGTGAAAACGTATTCGCCTAGACCGGCATTTACAAATGTTCGCGCCTTTTTACTCTCTCACAAACATTGTAAACATCCGGGCTAGAGGTCACATGACTTCCGGTAAGAAAACTTGCCTCAACAACATTAAACAAAGTTCAAGCATACATGAAGCACTCTTCAAAAATACAAAACAATAAAGAAGGGCACTTTGAGCGGCAGCTACACACACACACACACACACACACACACACACTAGTATGTTGCAAAACTACATGGCGACTAAACAGATCTTGTATCTTGCTTATTTTCCCCTCTTAGGAAAGCGGACACGGGATGCGAATTTCTTTGACACCGTCCAGGCGTTGGAGGACCGGCGTGCCGTGGTGAAAGAGTCGATGCACGGGGATCAGATGGTGCTGTTCACCAAGGCCCAGGAAACGGAGGACAAGATGCTCACCAGTTCATTTTATATTATTGTTATTACTGTTATTATATAGTCTTGATACAACGGACACTTTATTTTATATTGATAATGTTAATTTACATGTACAACTTCTATTTTATTTACATTAAAAATGTGAACTTCTATTTACTGTTAAACAGATCCTGTATCTTGCTTATTTCTCCTGACACTTTATCTTTAGTGACCTGTGTAGCATCCTATACATCACATGTAAGTTATTATTCTGATACCATCATGTTTCATCGGTTATAAACTGGCAAAGCTTTATTTGTCATTTATTTATCATCAATGTTGCAACCTTGTGGAGGAATGGCAGGGGCACATACACAAATATGATAATTTATATAATTTTAAATATTATTTTACCTAAAACTAAATGTTTTTATGATTGTCCTCTGAGGAGGACCTGGGGATTTGCAAACTTTTAATTCCCCCCCCCCATTTTACACAACACAAAATGGAGTCCACTATGGGCCGAAACTAACATGTAGGTTTCCATAGTGTTTATGGCAGACGGATGCAGTGGGTCTCAGGAAGATATATATATAATAAAGGTGGGTTTGCTGCTGAGCCTATTTACTGTGCATACAGCACACCTGGCACAGTTTATTGTTATTATATTGCCACACTGTACACTATTGTAATGTTGCCTGTCTTGACTGGAAAATAAGAGAGAAACAAAAGCACTGTACAAAAGATCAGCTTTATTGTCAAAATGTTTACAATGTACAATTTACACGCTGTTCAGATGCCTCATAAGGGCTGTGGCGTGTCTTGCCCCCCAGCCTCGGCAATGGCTGGCCCATCAAGCTGGGTCGCCGGTAAGGCAGTCCATTCGTCCCTGTACTCATCATTACTTTCACAAAGGTTATGTAATATGCAACATGCTGCCACCTGGATTTTGATCTTGTCCATCTTGCAGTCGTTTCTTTTCATCAAGCACCGCCACCTGCCCTTCAGTCTGACAAAAGCGTTCTCCACCACCACTCGTGCTCGGCTTGTTTTGTTATTGTACGCAAGTTGCTCAGGCTGCATTAACTCAGTTACAAAGCGGTATAACATGAGCACAAACAGCACAACTTCAGTCGACTCCATCTCCATCATGTCTGAGGTCGGAAGGTAAACAACAGACGCCTAATGTACAGCGAGTGGGTGGGCGTCGCAGGATACGCGGGAAGTTTTTCTTCTTCTTCTTCTCTTGTTTTGTAGCGGATTGCAAACAACTTTAAGGTGCATACCGCCACCTACTGTACTCGCCGTGAAGTGGTTTGTGGCCTGCCAGTAAAGCCAAAGCAGAAGAAGAAGAAGTGACGTCAGCGGCTCATTTGCGTAATCTTCCCTCAGGGAAAAGTACTCCGGTGTGAACGCGATCTGTACTAAGTGCCCTGGGGTAAAAAGCGTCGGGGCTCTGAGTGCCGGAACTAAGTACAGGAAAGTACTTGGTGTGAACGCGGCTTGAAGCCGCGTTCACACCAAGTACTGGCCAACAGAGACTGGCCAACATTGTCCCCATGGCCGTTCCCCACAGAACTAGAGTTACAGAGGATGAACTGGATCTCACTCCAGTTGTGGACTTCACCCTGACCCCTTCCCCTCATGAGCTGTGTGCTGTCAGTCGCTACTGAGGACGGGAGCCGGTCACTTGTCACTTGTGGTCACTCAGTGGGCCACGATGTGGGAGGGGATGTTGCGTGAGAATGCTGCATTGACATTTTACCGGTTGGCTAAAAATCTAAGGAACCCTGATGGTATACAACCGGAGCAATTATTTTAATCGATTATATTGAAGGGTGACAAAAAAGTAAAAAATAATAGGGGGAAACAAATCATGGTCATACTTGGATTTAAATTGCAACAGGTATCACTGCCTTTGTCTGTCACCCCAAACCAACAGGAGGAGGTGTGCCTGCTTTCCACACTATTCCTTCCTTTAAACTACTACCAGGCCACTCAAAAGGGACCTCATTAAGCATACATGTTTTCATCCTTTTTAGATGTTTTCTTCCCTGTTGGCAGACCGAATCATTACTATTCCCTCCCCCATCTTATGCTTAGTTATTTATATTAGTATTTTGGTTTTGGTAAAATATGCTAACATACATTTAAAATGTTGCCATACTTTTTCTTGTTCAGTTTAATTGTGGTAGTTCTGGTTAAAGATTAAAATACTGCTCTTGCATGCCAATCCTCCAGTGCAGGTCATTAGATGAATTGCACCTTTTAGAAATGCAAGTGTATTCATAAAAACAAGTAAACCGTGCAGTATACTTAGAATATGTTTGCTTCTCACACACTGCCTCATACATGTAAACGGGAAAGTGATTTGTTTTATAATACTCTTTATCAGTTAGCAAAGAGATATGAAAACTAACAGGGCATGATTCTAGTTGTTGTGATACAAAATAAGGAAGATTTTATATATTTTTGAATCTGCCTACTATGGTCAAGATGACACATAAACATATTTTTCCTAAAGCCTTGCATTCTATTGCTGTTTTTGTTCTCTTTAAATGTACTTTTGGTAATAAAATAAATCAAAATAGGAAATGCTACAGCATAGCCTATGTTTACATGAAGGCTACTAAGGTCCTTCCACTTTTAAAATATTGACTTGCTGATCCTGCGAAGAATGGTTGGAGTTTATCACTCGCTAAATGGAAACAATGCAGTCCTGGAGAGCTGAACAGCTGTTTGGAAATCAACTGTTTTATGTAATGCTTCACTGAAAGTCTGAGAATGTGGCCGTTTCTCAGGGTGTTTCTCAATCTCGAGTAAAGCTGCTCCAGAGCCACTATTTCAAGCATACTACGTCATCGAGTGCCGCCGAAGTACTGTTCCAATGTCCAGCATACTTGGAATTCTACCGAGCCCGGCGTACTTCGTTTGGAGAAATTGCGAGGCTGCACATGTGTAGACTCCGCGGTCTTAAAATCCACACAATGCTTTGCTCACGGACCAATTTCCACAAATCTGTGGCGGAAAATGTAAGGCGGGGCCTCTCATATGACGCACACCTGCACACTTGCTAGCCTGTTCCACTCTTTAGCCTCATCCCAATACCCCTCCTCGACTCCTCTCTTCCCCTCCTCCGGGACTTGACCCGGAAATCGATCAAGACACACCATTTTGAAGGACGTCCCAATAGCTGAAATGCACACGGAGGAGTCGAGGAGGGGTGAGGGAGGAGGGGTGCGGGAGGAGACGAAAGGGAGGATACACGAGAGCAGACTACGCGGAAGTGTTTTCACTACTCGCGTATAAAAGCCCCGCCCCCACCTTCACAGCTGGTCGATTTCAACACAGGAAAACGGAGAACTGGAAGAATGAGTGGAAAAGCGTCACATAAATGTATAAGTGCTCACAGCTCCGTGGGAATTATTATGTGCAATTCATTTCTTAAGGTTATACTAACAATTTAAGTCATGTTTAATGATCTTGAACGTCACTAAAACATAGCTATTAAGAAAGCTATTTCATAAATGGCTAGATCTTAATAAATAAAAATTATTTGTTTTGTTTTGTGTTCAAATATTGAGTAGTTAAATTATTTAAAATTCACAGTCCTGAATGTGGGTTTGTGGTAAATGTGGGGATCTACAGGACACACATGTTCAGAGTAAAGGCTTTCACATTATTATAATTATAATTTTATTGAAATGTACATTTTACACCAAAACGGAACACAAAAGCAGGACCAACCATCATACATTGAATTCCTTGACTAAAAAGAGACAGATTCATCATTTAAATACATATTTAACAATAAATGGGCCGGTTCTAAGGGGTTATTCAGTTAAACCCAATGAGAGGGGATACAGCTGTGCACATGTCATCATTAACAGACGTCGTTTAAGAGTGACGTTTGAGTGAACGAGGACATCCCAATTAATACCTGAGGACTCCTCTGTCCTCGCGTCTCCTCCTCGTGTCTCTCGCTCGCATCTTACGGAGGCGGAGCTAAGACGCAAGGAAGGGACGCGAGTGAGGGAAAGGAGGAGTCGAGGAGGGGTATTGAGACGAGGCTTTTGTTTTCCGAATGCCAGGAAGTATTCTTGCCTCGCTTCTGAAGCAAGACGCTCGGAAGACATGTGTTACCAAGCAAACGTACTCGAGATTGAGAAACACCCAGTGGCTCTGCAGCAGGTTTACTCGACATTGAGAAACTGTGACTGGCTACATGTAGAGACATATGACTGTGTTTACAGGGGGCATGAGTATTTGACTGGGTGGGTAAGAAGCTGCAAACACCTGTATATGGGGTAAGAGGAGTAAGTGGGAGGTTCTCAGCATTAATACATGGTATACACCTATTCATGCCTGTTATACCGTATACTCTATCGCAGCAACTATACATCGCTCAAAACCATTTAGCATTTTCTTGTTTTTCTCACTATTCTTTAAAAGTCCTGGCTGTAATTTCCACATCTTGTATTTTAATGACTTAATTATGACAAATTACAGTTTGATTAGATCTGTGATCAGCTGGCTGACCTGAATAAATTAGATGGGTGTGATTGGTGCAGCATTTACAAAAGGAGGTGGGGACTCTTGGTCTACAGTACCGCCCATAGAGGGGTGAAATAAGGTTATATGTGAGCAGAATCTTTCAGCAGATGGAAAGAAAGGGAGCCCTGTTTCTGACGAGACATTTATCCCTTCATTGAACTTTAAAAAATAGCTTTAAAAAAGTTTTTCTAAAGTAAGTCAGGTACTGTAGACAGCAGGATCATGTTGGAGGATCTTTTCCAGTCTTCAACTTCAGTCTTTTTGTCTGTGGCCATTGTGGTTCTGCTTGGCCTACAGTTTATTTACTCAAGCTTCAGCTCCAACAGCAGGAAGAGGGAGCCACCCGGGCCTAGACCTTTTCCCCTGCTGGGAAATCTACTTCAAGTGGATCTCAAGAGACTCGACCGCTCTCTTGTTGATGTGAGAAATGTGTTGTTTGTCTTAAGCTATGTGGTACTTTTATTTGCTTTAATACAAGACAAGAAAGTTGTATTTACAAAATGCACAATTGTTAAGTAAATTACTTTTCTTATAGAGGACAGTCAGTCTCACTATTACTTGCTTCTTTCTTTTAGCTGTCCAAAAAACATGGACCAGTGTTTACATTTTACTTAGGAATGCAGAAGGTGGTGGTCCTGGCAGGATACAAGACAGTCAAACAGGCTCTGGTCAACCATGCTGAGGAGTTTGGAGAACGAGAGATCAGTCCGTTAGCCTATGATTTCAACCAAGGACACGGTAAATAAATGTTTCTTTGTTTGTTGTGTTTTACTAGACTGTTTTTGTCCTGGTCTGAACATGTCAACCACTCCTCTTTCCAGGAATAATCTTTTCTAACGGTGATGTGTGGAAAGAAATGAGGCGTTTTGCTCTAAGCACACTAAAAGATTTTGGGATGGGCAAAAGGATTACTGAAGGGAAAATCATTGAAGAATGTGGCTACCTGATTGAAGAATTTCAACAGCATGAAGGTAACATTATCCTTACTAACAATGCATAGTTGTATACAGCAACAGAACCTTGAATAAGTTACACAATTACTCTTCTTTTCTTAGGTGAAGCCTTTGATAACGCCCATACGATGAATTACGCAGCTTCAAATATTATATCCGCTCTCATGTTTGGAAAGAGATTTGAATACAAGGACCCTGAAATCAAAGATATGTTGGAAAGAAACCATGAAGTCACCCGTCTTACAGGAACAGCATCCGTTCTGGTACTACAGACCGATTTCAGATTGACTAACTTGTGATGTAAATGTTTAATCAAACAAAAACATTATTCTAATATTACCAGCTGGGGCTTGAGATCTCATGGCTGTCATAATTGTTACATTAAGTCCTAAAACAATGAATGTGTTTGGTATTCTGCTGTATTACAGATATACAACGCGTTTCCTTGGCTGGGACCTTGTATTAAAAACTGGAGGGATTTGATGAAACTGGTGGAGGACAGCATGAAGGAAACAAGGAGCATGATAGCTGACCTGAAGGAGACTCTGAACCCTGACATGTGCCGATGCTTTGTGGATGCATTCCTGACCCGTAAACTGAGTCTTGAGGTAATATGTCTAACTCCAGTGAAACCATGGCAGGCTGATAATACTGATCAACAATTCATTTACATTTAAACCTTCTTTCACTGGCCATCGATAGCTCAACACACTTCAGATTAAGAAAACACATGCAAATAGAAACACAAGTAAATAAATAAAGTCTTCACCCAGTTTAATCCAGTATGGTCGTTGCCAGGAAGTGCGCTGGATTTAGAAGCAAATAATCATAGTGGCCAAATGGTGGTACTACATCTTTGGTGTCAGATTAGGCACATGGGTGAAGAGACGTTTGTGTATCCTTTATTGGAGGCGGAGCTTCTACAAAACACAAGTGTACATTCTCTATTTGCCCAGATATGGGCTGCTTCTCACTTCTGTTAAATGGATTCCTTGCGTCCCTCACTTGCGTCGTTTCCCTGCGACTAGTCCCTCCCACCAGGGAAGCATGAGCCGCTTTCACACCAAGTACTTTGCCGTACTTAGTTCCCAGCACTTAGTTCCCAGCACTTAGTACCCCCATGGAACTAAGAGCCAATCGCGTTCACACCGGAATAAGTCCCTGAGGGAAGATTATGCAAATGAAGCCGCTGACGTCACTTCTTCTTCTTCTGCTTTGGGTTTACTGGCAGGCCGCAAACAACTTCACGGCGTATACTGCCACCCGAAGTCCCCGGAGTTGGGGACTGGCTTCTACTGAAGCCTTCCGAGTAAATCGCCAGAACGCCGACACCTCCTCATCACTCAAAGTCAAAGTCAAAGTCAAAGTCAGCTTTATTGTCAATAATTCTACATGTTGTACATCCAAAAATATCGAAATATCGTTTCCCGCAGTCCTACAGTGTGACATATATACATAAAACAAAAAGGGCCTAGATAAACATGGTATACATTAAACAAAACAAAGGGCCTAGATAACCGGGGTATACAGTTTAAAATGTCAATAATATAATTTAAGTGTTTAAAGTACAGTTTCAGTGCAGTAGCATGGGAGATGGGCAGAAAAGTGAGTTAGGGGGTTAGAGTCCAGGACCATTTGGGGCAGGGGAGAAAGGTCGGAGGCAGGGTGGAGAGTTCAGGGGAGAGATGTCAGAGGGCGGAAGAGATGGAGGGAGGGGAGAGAGTTCAGCAGCCTGACCGCCTGGTGGAGGAAGCTGTTGCCCAGCCTGGAGGTGCGTGAGCTGAGGCTGAGGAACCTTCTTCCTGAAGGCAGGAGGCTGAAGAGGCTGTTGGAGGGGTGGGTGGAGTCACCCACAATGCTGAGTGCTTTGCGGGTGAGGCGGGTGTTGTATATGTCCTGTAGTGAGGGGAGTGAGGCACCGATGATCCTCTGGGCAGAGTTCACTATGCGCTGCAGGCTCTTGCGGTCGGCGGCGGTGCAGCTTCCGAACCACAGCGTGATGCAGCTGCTGAGGATGCTCTCGGTGGCGCCTCGGTAGAAGGACAGCATGATGGGGGGTGATGCTCCGGCTCGCTTGAGCTTCCGGATGAAGTACAGGCGCTGCTGGGCTTTCCTCGCTAGAGCGGTGGTGTTGTTTTTCCAGGGGAGGTCCTCAGTGATGGTCACACCAAGGAATTTGGTGCTGGTCACCTGCGTCACAGCAGCGCCGTTGATGGTCAGGGGGAGTGGGGGTCGACGGTGGGTTCTCCTGAAGTCAACAACTATCTCCTTTGTTTTCTCCAGGTTAAGGAAGAGGTTGTTGTTTTGGCACCACAGGGCCAGCTGGTTCACTTCCTTCCTGTAGTTAGTCTCATCGTTGTTGCTGATGAGACCCACCACAGTAGTGTCGTCTGCAAACTTCACAATGTGGTTGGTGCTGAAGGTGGGTTTGCAGTCGTGGGTCAGCAGAGTGAAGAGAAGGGCTGAGCACACATCCTTGGAGGGCCCCCGTGCTCAGTATGAGGGTGTCTGAGGTGTTATTGTTGACCCGTACAGCTTGTGGTCTCTCTGTGAGGAAGTCCAGCAACCAGTTGCACCGCTCCCATGTTTTTTTTTGTGTTGCCATAAGTTATTCTCTCTCCGTTGGTGCGCGGGGCTAATGCTAATGCTAATAATGCTAATGCCAGCAAATACAATGGCGGCTTCACAAAACTTTTCAGAGTTTTACGGGGCGTGGTTTGCAATTCGCCCAGCCAATCAGAAATGTGTACTTTTTCTCCCCAGGATAGTCCCACCTCTCTAGCAGGCACTACAAATGGGGGTAAAAGTTCTCTGAACTAAGTTCTCTTTTTGGTGTGAACGCAAAATTCCAGGCACTAATGGAACTAAACGGGAAAAGTTTGGGTAAAAGTACTCCGGTGTGAAAGCGTCTATAGAGAGACGCAAGGAAACCACGAGAAGCAGGGAAATGAGTTTTAAGAGCAATGGGACGTTGTTTCCTCCGGAGCGTCACGTGAATCGACGTCCGTTTGTGATGACGTAGCACAGCTGATCGTCTGACAGCAGCCAGCTCTCTCCCTGTTATTTTCACAAACACCCCCGCCTCTGTTACACAAACATTTGGATCATCTGTTGTAGACCCAAGTAAATAAAATCAAATAAGAACTCATTCTCAAAAAAGATAAACGCCATTCTTAAAATGTATAAACGAAAAAAGCGATCATGAAAATGTTTCCAATAAATTAATAAAATTATTTTTGATCACTTTGTTGTTCAGATATATCACATATTTGTAACTAAATGATACATTAAAGGTGGGGTATGTAATTTATTTCAGAAACACTTGTTATATTCCATGGAATGCTCTTAACATCCCGATAGCAATGAATATATTAAATGCTTTGACAATAACTACATTAAAAAAATGTCATCTGTGGAAGCCGTGGCGCTGTAAAAAGTACGACCAATCATTTTAGCCGGCCCGGCTAAAATAACTGGATGGCCTACCTGCCTGTCAGCCTTCCATCTGTGCACAAACTTATCTCGTGCCCTCATTGGTCATGTGCACGTTCGTGTGTGTTGGAGGAGGGGCTCTGTAAGGAAGTGGCAGATTTTTTCCGGTTGTGTATTTTCAAATTCTAGCACACTCGAGCCGGTTTCTCCAAAATTACCTATCCCACCTTTAATTGAAACAAAACACAGTATAAACTGAGGAGTGACTCCTGTGAGGTTCATGTGTTTTCTTCACTCCACTGGGAAACTGCTCTCATGTCAAGAAGCAACAGATCAGTGCATGCGCTGCATCGTCCAATCAGTGAGCGATACACAGTAAGGGGGCGGGGCGAGTGTCTGAGGATTTCACCGGAGGATGGTCTGGTAGTTCCTCGATTATCGCTCCTCCGTTATCACTCCTCGATCCTCGATCCTCGATCCTCCGGCAAAAATAAGGCCACTGGGACGGTACTCAAGATGGCGTAGACCAGGGGTCGGCAACAGGCGGACCGCGGTCCGGATCCGGACCCAGACGCCGACATATACGGACCCGGACCTATAATCAATACATTAATAGGGGATTTCAATTTTGACGGGGCGATTCTATTTTAACCGCCGCCGACAGGGGGCGAAAGAGACGAGTGAGCGATACAGGGAGAGAAACATAGAAGAAGAGACGAGAGAGCGGCAGACTAGAGAGAAGCGGAGAGGAAAGTGAGTAAAGAGAATAATTAGCGATACAGGCAGAGAAGACGGAGAGGAGAGTGAACAGGCGTGTTAGCGGCAGACAGGGAGAGACAAATAATGACACATGGCGCTCTCCAAGAAGAGGAAAGTGGACAGTGAGAACAGAGCTTTTAACCCTGAGTGGACGGACTCATTCATGTTCATCCTGCCCACTGGGAGCACAGAGCCAGTGTGTCTCATTTGTTCATTGACCGTGGCGCTCAAGCAGAATACAAAAATCAAGTCACTGTATTCAGCTCGCGTTATATTTGAAAAACGAGTAATCTGATTACAGTTACTTTCGTAAACCTGAAGTGAATACATTTTGGAATACTTATGGGAATTATTGGTGGAAAAGTTTCCTCATAAAATGTAATAGTCATTACCAGCAGAACTGTGTGCACACTGCACAGCGCTGCAGCGTGTCTGTGAGCGAGAGAGAGATGCAGCGTGTCTGTGAGGCCCCGCCCCCGCACGCAGATCAGAGAGAGAGATCTCTTTTAAAATATATTGAAAGTTAGAAACGGAGATGGTTCGATAAAATGTGCAAGATAACGTTTATGTAGCATTTCTTTATTGTCGAAATGATGACATTTCATAACGGGATCAAATCAAAGTGAATGGCCTGCTGCTGCTGAATGCATGGGGCAAGTGACTGGAAACAGTTTTAAAAGTTATTACGTCGTTTCAGATAATAAATAATAATGATAATTCATTCTATTTAGGGGCGCCTTTCAAAGCACCGAAGGACACCTGACAATTCATAACATATTCTAAGGAAAGGTTTAAGAGAGTACAAAGAATGCAGTCCGGGTGATGTTTTTTATGTGGGGTGCAGATGAGAGGGAGCTGACCAGAATGACACCAAGATGTTGTGTTTGAGTTGTGCTCTTGATAAGCCATTAAAACAGTAAAATAAGTGTCTCCTGTTCACCAAAACATACCCATCTGTTATGGAAAAATAAAGTATTCCAAAAGTATTCTAAAAGTAATCTGAATACATTACTTTTTTAAGACACGTAACTGTAACTGTATTCGGATTACTTTCAGAGCCATGTATTCAGTAACCGATTACATTTACAAAGTAACCCTCCCAACCCTGATTAAAAGTGCCAAAACGCCACTATGAGACAAAACACAAAGTGTTTGACCAAACATTCCCTCTCAAGTCAGAACTGAGGTCACAAAAAATAAGCAGTCTGAGCCCAATATGATCAGTCCACCAGGATCAAAATTAAAACTAAATATCGTTCCAGGGCAGGCTAACCGAGGCTAACCAATGAGCACCTGCATGTGTGTATGAGAATGGCCCTGACACCATTTCAGCCCAGATTTAAACTCCGGGCAGGACAAGCTCAAGCTCAATTCTCGCACTGAATTAAAACAAAGTGAGTGAGGGACTGCAATATAAGAGGGAAAGAAAGAGAAACTTTAAAACTGTTCAATTGTTATGATGTGTAAAGACTGATATTGTTCTATAATCGTCTGAAACTGTTAAGTCATGATGTGAAATGGTTAACAAAGCTATTTTATTTATTTCTCTATTTTATTTTTAAATGCAGCCCGAGGGGAACATTACATATATCCACAGTATTTACTGTATATCTGTATCGTTCAATGTTCATTGACAATAAATATTGTTGTTTTTGAATTGTACTTTCTTTATTTGATTGGCAGTCGGTTGTTGATGACATGCAGACGTTGATAAAGCTACAGGCTACTTCAATATATATCACACTAATTCATAAAGCAAGTTAGACATTTTGATGTTCCGGACCTTTGCATGGGGACATTTTCTCTAACTGGACCTCGTTGAATTTTAGTTGAATACCCCTGGCGTAGACAAATCAACTTCTGGTGATACAGAGACCGAGGAGATAAAAAATAAGAGAAGTGAGACGCAGCCATGGTAATTTTTAAACTCAATATTTAGGCCATTTCACCTTCATGCGCCACTGAGCAACTTTCATAGGAATCAATGGGATCCTTTATTGCTGTATCCAGTTCTCTTTTTACACCCATGGTCGTTGCGATGTATCATGTCCTCCCCATAACGTGCTATGTGCATTAAAGTCCCTGCATCCCAATACCCTCTCCTTCACTTATCCATGTCTCTACAGCTACATACAGTATGACTGATGGTTTCCTATAGGCTATACTCACCTCTCTAAATGAAATATCTTCTCTTGTAAATGTTGCACAATTTATAATGTATTGAGCACAAAGGTCAGGCCACTATTTACTTTTCTGTGTGTCTTTATTAGGAGGCTGGTGACAAAGATTCACACTACAATGATGAGAACCTGGCCCACAGTGTGATAAACCTGTTTGCTGCTGGGACTGATACAACGGCAAATACACTTCAGTGGTCTTTACTTTTCATGGCCAAGTACCCTCAGTTTCAAGGTGCATAATATGTCCGTCTGGTGAAATTCAGTTTACAGTGTTTCGACTTGAACACCATTTATTTGTATTTCTATATTGATCCAACTTAATCTCAATGTTATCTGAGTCCAGACAAGGTCCAGGAGGAGCTGAGCAGGGTGATAGGAAGCCGTCAGGCCAGAGCTGAGGACCGGAAGAACCTGCCGTACACTGATGCTGTCATCCATGAGACACAGAGACTGGCCAACATTGCCCCCATGGCCATTCTTCACAGAACTAGCCAAGACGTCACCTTCCAGGGATACTTCATCAAAGAGGTCAATTACCTAAATACATTTGCTTTTAGTTAGATATTGTGTGCTTTGGTTCCACAATTTAAATAAAACCACCTTGCTCTCTGTTTTTTCCTACAGGGGACTTGTGTGCTTCCTCTTCTTACTTCTGTCCTGCAGGATGAGAGTGAATGGGAAACCCCACACACTTTCAATCCTTCCCACTTCCTGGATAAGGAGGGTAAATTTATCAGGAGAGACGCCTCCATGCCATTTTCTGCAGGTATAAAAACCTTTTATAGATATAATACATACATACATACATACATACATACATACATACTCATAGAAATGTCATCCAGTTAACTTGCTGAAACTCTTGGTTCTCAAAGGTCGCAGGATGTGTCCTGGAGAGAGTCTGGCTAGAATGGAGCTGTTCCTCTTCTTCACCTCCCTCCTCCTGCGCTTTCGTTTCACTCCACCACCTGGAGTTACAGAGGATGAACTGGATCTCACTCCAGTTGTGGGCTTCATTCTGACCCCTTCCCCACATGAGCTGTGTGCTGTCAGTCGTCAATGAGGAAGAGAGCTAGAGCATTGCAGCCTCCATGTCACCCTACTGCCCAGAAGGCACTGCAGGTTCTGGTCCAGATTATTCTCACCGTACGCATAGAGTTCTGCAACTCCCTCCCTCCATCTCATTCAGAATGCAGCAGCCTGACTGGTCTTTAAACTCCAAGTTCTCCCACACTTCACCACTCCTTATGCTATTTTTACTTTATACCAATACTGTTCTACACTGCTGTGAATGGATCAGGCCCTTCTTTCATCCATGACATGGTTAAACCGTACACTCCAGCATGTGCACTTTGCTAAAAAACTAAAAGCTAATGTACTTGCATCTTTTGTAGGTCGCTTTGGATAAAAGTGTCAGCTAAATGATATGTAATACGATTGCCTTGCTTTCTGCTGTACACATTTGTATGTACAATATATTCAGACACTGCCTGACACATTTAAATGGGAAAGTGGTTTGTATTTTAATCATGACTTTATTTTATTTTTTTTTCATTAATCATACAGTAGAGGTATGAAAATTAACAGTCAGTAATGCTAGTCGAGATTATACAAAAATAATAGATAGAAAAAAGGAGTGACAAAGGTAGTGCCTGCACATAATCATTCCATTAATCATTGCCTATTGTAAGGACACATCATTATTATCAACACATTATAACTAAAGCACTGCATTCTATTGCTGTTGTATTCTCTTAAAATGTTAAAAATAAATACATTTTAGAATTGCTACAGCTTCTGTTCATTGTAAAAAAACATGTGTATATTAAATGTCTATGTAGAAGCACATCCAAGCCCCTATGGTCCCAAAACATTATGGCATCTGAAAGCTACTAAGGTCCTTCGACCTTGATAATATTGATCTGATCCTGCGACGAGAGGTCAGAGTTCATCACCGGCTGTGTGGACACACTGCAGTCCTGGAGATTCCTTGCCGAACAGCTGTTTTGGAAATCAGCTGTTTTATTTACTGCTCCACCGAAAGTCTGAGAATGTGACTGGCTGTATGTAGAGACATAGGACTGTGTGTAAGGAGGCATAAGGGTTTGACTAGGTGGGTATGAAGCTACATAAGCTTGTGTATGAGGGGGAGTGTGGGTAAGTGGGAGGTTCTCAGCATTGCTACATGGTGGAAAGCCATTCATGCTTGAAGGATTCAGTCCAGGCAGTTTAAAGGCCTCTACATTTTCTAAACTCTCTATAGAGTTGTAGTTTGGCTGGGTTTGGTTGCACTGAGTGTATGTGCCTGGACTGAAGTTGAAGGTGTCTTGGCTGAAGGAGGTAGATGCAGAAGCTGCTGGCAAACCAGAGGGTGAGGGAGTTTTGTTGTGCTGCTGCTGAACAACGCTACAACGTCCCAGATTGGTGGCCATGCACTGTAGTGTGCTGAGGATCTGCTTCTGAATGTGTGTCTGCTGCCCCTGCTCCCTCTCAAGGCGGCACTGCTGCTCCACCAGCATCTTCACTGCCAGACCCAAGCTGCGCACCTCTGAGCCCAGGGTCTGGACCTGATCCTGAAGACCACCTCTCCCTCCAGTGTCCTGGACTGCTTGCTGGGGGCTCGGGTTCCCCTCACTACGAGTTCCGCCCTGGCCTCCTGGGGTTTGTAGACGAATGAGGGCAACCCCAGGAGCTAAGGATGTTGAAGGTGCTGTTGGGCGGTTAGGAAGACGAATGCCAACCCGAGGGACAGGGTGAAGGGAACGCACAGACGGACCTGGTCTTTGTGTGAGAAAACGCCTGGTGGTGCTACCTCCATCGGACTGCCCTTCCATAAGAGTCTGTGTACATGACAAACAAACAAAAAACATTACAAAAGTTAACATCTAGTTAAAATAAAACATAAGGGCACTTCCACAAACCATAGTCTGTTTGGCTAGTCCAAATTAGAGTGAAGTTGAGACTTTTTTTTCTTTCTATAAATCCTTTTACGGTTTAACACTGCACAAATGTAAGTACTTCTTAACTTCTCACCTTTTCAGTGGTCAGATCACACGTTTCGGACAGTTGTGGTATTGAACTTCTCATATTGGCAGCTTGGACACTGGAGGGATCTCTCCTCAACAACGATGCTACCTGAGGGAAAGACTGTTGAAAACTGTTTATGCAGGTTATGACTAACAGATATTGAGAAATTATTTATAAGTAGGTACCTTCACCCTGTGTGCCAGCGCTTTATCCAAAAGCCTTCTTCGAGCTGCCAGTATTGAATTTGTGGCTGGAGAAGCTGTTACTCTCCTCCTCATCAACGCTGCAGCAGCTGTTAGTGTGGAAGACACAGCAGTCTCTGCTCTTGTTACAGTGGACTGAGGAACTGTTTGATGGCAGCTCTGTGCAAGGGAGGTGACACTTACAATCTGGATGTCATTTTCTTCCTTATCTCCCTCCTGTTGCATTTCTGGCCTGCTGCCTCCACTTGTCACCCCAGAGCCAGATGGCTTTGCACCAAAATCTGGATTTGTGGAAGTCTGTTTGACAAAATTTGAAGCAGCTGCAAAGCCAGCATGGTGAGATGCATCCCGCAGAACATTTTGAATTTGAATGTTACTCCAGCCCTCTTGTATTGCTCCGGTTCGATGCTGTATCTGTGCGATTGATGTGCTTCCTCCAGTCTCCATAGGTTTAACCCTCCCTGGCGGCCTCCCTTGGAACTCCCTTAGGAACAAGTAGATTGCCTGGGCAGAAACCTTGATGTTCTCCAGCTCCAACACAGCTTTGATCTTGCGTAAACTCAGACCAGCCTTCCGCAGCTCCACCACTTTGTGTTTCGCGGCATCATCCAACCGGCCCATGGTCTCTCACTCCAGGAAGGCTCTTAAGCTCTGAAATATTTATATCATATATTAGAAAAATACCGTAACTAACATTTGTTGTATGGTTTATGCTGAGAAATGAATGAACGAAATGAGAAGAATGTGTGACAATAGGTGCTGCATCTTTGGACATGTTCTACTCTGTAAAATACCAGTTACTTAATGCAGTATAGTGTGTAGCTGCCTCAATTACATAACATTTGTTCTCACGCCATCCCTAATTTTATAACAATAAATAAATAATTGTATCATGTTTTTGTTTTTTTACCTAATACCACGTTTGGAACAATACAATGTTTCTTGTTATAACACAGTAAAATCAACGTATCCCAGCCAGGCAAGCAACCTTATAAAATACTGAATACTCATGCAAGATTATCATACATATATACTTTTGTCAATATTTGTTTTTTTCCCTCTAACATCTGTACAAACCAGATGTTAGGTGAGCTAGCTCCTAGCTATTTTAGCACAGTACCGCTATAAAACAAAACGCTCACCTTGCAAACAAGAGGGCAGATGAATTGGTGTTTAAATAATTTCACGTACTATGATGAAATATTGAATCTTATCATAGCCACGATGTAGTCACACAAAGGTTTTATCGACAACATAAATAAACAAATGTACGTGGCGCTCGGCTAACTACGTCACTTCCGCTTTTTCGTCATCACTGAGCGACTCCTTTCTCAGGCCGCGGCAAGTGGTTGAAGCTAACCACGTCGTTTGAAAAAGATGTAAGTTAAGCCTTTTTTTAAATTACAACACCGCTTATTTAATTTCCATTACATTTTTTATTGTATAAAGTAAATTGTGTCGTGTTTTTTAACCGCTTGTGCACTAACGAACAGCCTATACATCGATAAATCAACAGTGGCTAGGTCCACCTTGTTTTGAGCAGTCAGTTGAATTAGTTTCAATGGCGGCGGGTTTTCCGTTGTCGGCGGTAAGACTTAATAGTCTCACATTTCATTGATGAATTCATAATTAATAATACTAATAATGTTGTATACGCAATCCACATATAACAACATTTAAACTGCTAAACATCTTAAAATGCAAATAATGTAGTTGTGTAATTCTTTCAACAGTACAGGCCAGGGGTTAAGCTCCGATTTGCTTAGTGACGGTCTAGTTGGATAGATAATAAGTCTGTATAACAACTCACTCAATGCTCCATAGTTTCTCTTTTGAACTGGACTTATAACTTCTCACTGTACACACATTTACCATTTAAATTTAATATGCCATTCTTGCACTCTAAATGTTTAATAATATCCCATTTGTATATTGTCTTAGCTGTAATTAAGCCCTTCAATATTGTTTTATTTTTCAGATAGTTTACATATTGTTTTTTCACGGTCAACTTTTATATTTTCACTCTTAAGTCTTTTTTATCTTCCATTTTGAGATGTTTATATTGTATAATTGTTTATTTTCTGTATGTGCAATACTTGTTTTACATGCTGCTGCAACGATAACATTTCCCAATTTTATTAACTTTATCGATCCCACATTTTGAAATTGTTACAGCAGCAATGTGTTCAGGCATCAAAGTCTAAACAACTTTAAAGTTGGAAACAAATTATAAATCAAATAAAAACAATAAACAGCATTAACTCTAATTAACTTGGTCTCTAGAGAATCGTGATCTGCATATTTCACTACTTACGGACATTTTACGTCTACATGTTAGACAAATTGTTGGTTTTTGTAGCTCCATAAAGTTTCTAATCTCAAAGTAACAGCCGCTTGCCTCTTGTTTTAGGGCACCATCACCTACAAAGCGGAAGGAAGAGGAAAAAACTAAAGACAGAGGCAAAGAAAAGACTAGTACCAAGGAAGGAGACAAAGAAAGAGGACGGGACAAGGCAAGGAAGCACCGCAGTGCTTCCACTGGCAGCAGCAGCAGGTTAGTTTTATTATTTATATCATAATTAAGGTTTATTTGAAAATTAAGTGATACATTTTGTACCTAACCTGTTTTTTCTTTTCTTTGACGCTGAACAGGTCCAGATCTAGTTCTACTTCAAGCAGCAGCTCTGGTTCCAGCTCGGGTTCCTCCAGTGGATCCAGCTCCTCTGGCTCCAGCCGCTCTGGCTCTTCCAGCTCTCGCTCCTCCTCCTCCTCCAGCTCCTCAGGCTCCCCGAGCCCCAGCCGTAGGCGCCATGACAACCGCCGCCGCTCCCGATCAGCGTGAGTTACTTCTTCGATTTCAGCTACACAATAATTATACTCTGTGATGTCTTGTATTCACACTTGTTTTAAGTCGTGATAAAATCAATCAATGATTTTGTATCGTTTGTGATTCTGCAGGTCAAAAACACAGAAAAGGGGAGATGATAAGGAGCGGAGGAAGAGAAGCCCAAGCCCCAAACCAACTAAAGTTCACTTAGGCCGGCTGACCAGAAATGTCACCAAGGTAAGCTGAGGATTTAAAAATAAGTGTTTAAATGGCAGAACGTATGATATAACCTGATTTAAGATGATAGCACTACTTCAGTAACATCATGGCAGGTAGATAAGTACATAATCATCATCTCCTGAAACAGAATTGAACTGCAGTAAAGTAAAAAATTAAGCATTGAATTAATTGTTTATTATCCGTTAAGCTAGCTCTTTGTTTTTCTTGTTTTGGGCAGTCTATTTTATGAATTAAGATAATAACAGCATTCCTTCACAGATAATCAAAGTTGTCTGTTACATGGTTCTGATAATCATGCTGTCTTTTTTTGCACAGGAACACATCCAGGAGATCTTTGCTACTTATGGAAAAATCAAAATGGTTGAAATGCCATTAGACAGGGTCCACCCGAACCTGTCCAGAGGCTACGCCTATGTGGAGTTTGAGACTCCCGAGGAGGCCCAGAAGGCCCTGAAACACATGGATGGAGGTAGGCCAGCATGTTTCCTTTAG